CCACTGTGGGACGGTGCACGGCAGAAGTAAATGCTTAATTTGACTAGTTAAAAGTTCTTGTCCCACGTTTTGACCTATACATTTTTTTTAGGAAAAAACCTCACCTTTATGATAAAATTTTTTTTAAAAAAATACAAACTGCCCATTTGATAAAAAAATGAAATTTTATTTTTTAATTTAATTTTTCAAGGTCAAACAATTTTTTTTCTCTACATTTGTTCACACTATTAGAAAGTGTTGAAAAACAGCAGCAAAACCCAAAATAGAAAACGTATTTTCGTTTTGTTTTAAAGAAACTACAAATTTTTCAAATATTCCATGTAAATTTTTGACCTGGGTCACTTGACGTGGAACCCGTCATATTCAGATTTAGATAGCTGACGACACACAGTGGGGCAAAACACCGTTCGAAAGATAATGAATTTTAACTGTTTTGACAATTTAACCTTTCGCCCCAGTCTCCCCTAATTATTAATAATATAATAGGCATAAACAACAATATTTGTTTAAAGTAAAAAAATTTCTCATTTTTTTATTTAACATTTGTGACGCGACCTGAAAAATGAATTTTTTCTAAACTTTGCTAAAATGTTACTATTATTAGTTGAAGTGTAAATATTAATTTTTTTTTATTTTCATAAAATATTTTTTGGGTTGAGGTGTTTCAAAATTTTGATTTTTTGAAAATATCTTTTTTTCAATTTAATATATTGATAAGTAAAATTATAATCAAATTTAAAGTACGAATAGTGATTTTTAATGGGGTTTTCACGAATAAGCTGGTGACCTTTTTTCCTATTAGCTATGTAAAAATCAGAGTGGGACCATGGAAAATTTTGAGGAAAATAATAATTTAATATTTTTTACATAGAAAATTATCATTTATAATTAATTTTTTCAAAAAGTTCCATAGTCCCACTCTGATTTTTACATGGCTCATAGGAAAAGAGGTAAGCTTTCGATTAGGATGGGTTAGAAAAAAATAAAAAAACACCGATTTTGAGATATATTGAAATTAAGAATTTGACCTTGAATTTCAAGGTCAAATTTGAAAGAAAACAACTTTTTTTTCATCACCAGCTAATAGCTCGTGAAAACCCCTTTCAAAATCACTATTCATACTTTAAATTTGATTAATTATACTTATCAATATATTAAATCGAAAAAAATATATTTTCAAAAAAATCAAAATTTTGAAACTCCATAACTCAAAAAATATTTTATCAAAAAAAAAAAAATTATATTTACAGTCCAACAAATAATAGTAACATTTTAGCAAAGTTTAGAGAAAATTCATTTTTTGACCTGGGCAGTTGAGTAATTTTGCCCCATATGTTCGTAATATGTGGTTACGTTTTATTTTTTTACTCCGAATCCCTTTGAGATCCCAAGATGAAACTTACAGGACATGTAAAGAACATTTGCCCTAACGTTTAGTAAAATTTTGAAAAAAATCGAAGATGATGTTTTTTCAAAAACGGATTTTTAATTTTTCAAAATTTCAAAAAAAAAGTTTATTGAATTTTTTTTTATATTAATTTTAACTTAAAATATACTTAATGATAGATCGTCCAACATCCTTCCGGCAGGACGAAAAAGACTCAGGTGAGTCCCTCCGAAATCACTAAAGAAAACTAACATGGATCCAGATAAATAAAAAATGATATATATCATTGGAAAGGTAACGAAACAAGCTTTCAGCGCATATAAATATCGAGCTTGTAAGTTCAAAACTAAGGGCTGGGTAGTTTGAAGAAGTTACATGTTCCAAAAATTCACATAATCTTTAGTCACAGAATGACGAAGCCCGGTCCTGCCGGCAGGACGCTTTTCGCTTTATTTAAGAGACTGCCTAGCCCAGGTTTATAAATTTAAAGACTCGATATTTACATCATTTGAAAGCTTGTTTCATTACCTTTCCAACGATATATTTAGTTTTATATTTATCTGCTTCCATATTAATTTTATAGAGCAATTTCTAAGGGACTCGCGCCTGAGTATTACTCAGATATACTGAACAATATTAAAAATGAATTTTTTTTAATTGAACAATTAGGTTTCATTCTTTGTACGTTTCTGAAGAGAAAGAGACTTGTCCGGTCAAGAAATATTGATTTTTGTGGATTTTACATTAAATTTACGAAAAAATGTTTTTTTCACTGTTTAGAAACATAGCAAATTGAAGGCTTTGAAAAATGGTTTAATATTATTATTTTAAAAAGTCAAAAATATGGATTTTTTCGTCTTTTCGTCTACTTTAATCCCAAGGAGTGCCAGAAAACAAAAGTTGAATTCCCTTTATTTAAAAGCCTTTTTTTCGGAACGTCCTTCCGGCAGGATGGACGCTTGGACGATTTATCATTAAAACCAAAGAAATCCTTTTTTCAAAATCCAAAATCGGTTAATTAGAACCAAAGTTGTAGCACTTTAACCCGTCAGCACTCGCGCTATAGAGAAAAAGTCTCACGCAACACTACTCAACCTACACATTGAGAAAACTGGAGTATTGGACTAAACATCTGGAGGGACAAATCGTTCATATTTGAGAGTTAGCTATATTGGATAACAATCTAAATGTTCAAATACACCATTGACAGATATTCCTGCCATTTCTCTTGGAGGGAAAATGAGTTTATAACAGAGGGACAAATTAACCATCTTGAGAAATCCCTTCCTTATCCGGCGCGAAATGAATAAATCGATGGGTTAGTGGAAAAAAGGACACCTCGAATTTTGGTTCAAAAAGAGGACACCTCGCTTTTTAGTTAAAGAAAAGGACACCTCGAAAATAATAATTTTAAATGCATTTTTGTTTGACGATAATATGTGTAATTTAATTGACTTATGAGATTTTGTGCTCAAAAAACTATGAAGATAATATGTTCTTAAAATCTTCTATTACAAAAACTGAAAAAACAATTACATTACACATAGTATCGCCAAACGAAAATTGATATAAAATTAATATTTTCGAGGTGTCCTTTTCTTCAACTCAAATGCGAGGTGTCCTCTTTTGAACCAAAATTCGAGGTGTCCTTTTTTTCCACTAACCCAGCGAAATATGGCAACCTAACCCCTAAATTAAATACATAAAATGTCAGAAAAATAATTTCGCGCGCACAAGATCGTACACATTTTCTGCGCAACTTTTAACCCTCAGATATAATGGGAGAGAATATACAAGTAGATTTCCATTATCAATTCCAAATTTATTTTAGAAGGGCTATTTAACTCTCTTCATAAGCAAAGGAAACATACACTTTTTAAACCTCTGAATTTGACTCTCCAGTTTTCTCAGTGTATAGGGAACTCTTGGAGTGCGAGTGAGACACTAAAAAAAGCGATAGTGCTGACGGGTTAAAAAAAAGACACAAATTTTGAAAATTCCATATTTTTGGTAATTTTCAAAATTTTGAAAAAATATTTGGTGGAGTTGTTTATCACTATAAAAGTAATAAATTTACAAAAGTACAGCCATACATATATATATATATATATATATATATATATATATATATAGTCATGAAAACTAGTGTGTTGAACGAACGTGGAATCCACCATATCAATCTTTAAAATCTAGGATCAAAAATTTTACATAGAAATTGTTTTTCATGCAAAAATATTAAGTATTTGCTACTTTAAGGAGGATGTATTAAAGTTCAAGACGATTATTTAGTGGGGAGGGAGAGAAAAGCTCTCGACGAATTTCAAGTAACTATATACATGTGTTCGCGAAAAAAGGAGATAAGGGATAAGCAAACGATTTCACGGTAGAGGCTATGCCTCGAAGGTGAGAATGTACGATCAAGAATCGTTTCAAAATTGAATTCGGTTTTCTTATCAAGGTTTTCTTAAATTTAATATATAAAAGTAGAGATTCTCGATAAATTTGCGACCAACATTTTCCAAATTAAATAAGACATATCTTTTAACAAAATTTTACAGAACGATAAAAAAAATTTTGTTTCATTTAAAAAAAAATTGCCACAAAAAGAATATATAAATCAATATGACTTCTGTTTTATTTATATACAGTACGAAAACCTACCACGTCAGTCATATCCCATGAGTGGGAGTGAGACAGACTTATGCGATTCCCATACTTTCCTATGACTGACGGATAGCTTTTCTTACTGTATATGTATAATAGTAAAGAGTCTTCTAAGAAACATTTACACAGAATTCATTTTCCATTCCGAACAAAAATTATTATATATGTATAATAATACTCTATATGTTCTGCTTTTCGTAAATTACGAATGAATTTAATCATCATAATAATCCTGATATCATATCATAAACAGTACAATAATAAAAAATATGATATAAACTAATAATAGTCTAGAGGTTGGAAGTGATTCTGTATTTTTTATTAATTGTTGTAGATTCATAATTATGTAATTTTATAAACATTTTGATTCGTGGTTATTTTATATGATAGAAATACAATAGTTTTTACCTCATTTTAAAGAATAAAAAGAAGAAGCAAGAAAAGTAACCCTATCGTTCTTCCGTCTCTCTCTTATCACAGTTTTGTCTTGTTTCTTGTCAAGTCCCTTGTATGTGTCCTTGGATCAACGACTTGAGACCTGTGACTTTCATGAAATCTGAATTCGAATAATTTCGCGTATGATTAATTGTCAGCGAATGTCATATGATCATAATAACCTCTTCTAAGACCATTTTAGGCGCTGCGCTGTTCAGTCGGGATGAGGAAGAAGGGTTCTTCCCAAATTTCCATAGGAAAAATAAGGAAACAACTCACTTACTTGCAGAGGTTCAAGGAGTTGCGACGTGATTCTTGACGAACTTCACTATCGAGTCTTGTTTCAAAAAAGTTTATTTTATATTTTGTTGTTACATTGTTTGGAGTTTTGATTAATAAATAAGTGTTATTTGTTAATTCAGAGTTTTTATTTTTTTAGTGTTTCATTTATATTTGTCGTATCGTGAACCGGATGAATTTTTTAAATTGATTTGAGAAATTAGAAAGCACTTACGTTTGCAGGCTTTGCGGTGTGTTATGGCTTTTGTAGGGTCTCTGTAATAACCCTCTCTGCAATAGTGACAATGACGACCAGCCGTGAAGTGCCTGCACTGTAGACAAACGCCTCCGCTCACGCGACCGGACAACTTGTACAGCTCCATGTTGAATTTGCATTTTCTAGCGTGCAAGTTGCAGTTGCACTCTGAAACAAACAAGAGTAACTCTTCATTATACACTCACTCTATATCATATCAAATTAATCTTCAATTAAAACGTGTAGTAAGAATAAGAAATTTAACATTCATGTCTGTCACTACAGGCACATATCTTAATTTTTAATTTGCGGGAGGAAAAAACATTATTTCTATAATTTAAAACCCCAATGGGAAATGCCAGTCTAGTGCTATTGTTCATCACTGGCTTAGTACTTATAGGCCAGTCGGTGAGTGCAAAAACTGCCCAAAAATGCAAACAGCAAAGTCTCAACGGTTTCTGGTAGTTTGGGGGCTCCTTATAAGAGCCCCACAGTTTGCTCTCGATTTCCGGGTGCGAAAAACAGTGTAAACAATCGCCAAAGTTTGTAAAACATGGTTTTTCGATGCTCGTTGCTTCCGGTTAAGTTTTAGGGGAAAAAGTTGTTATCAAAAGTTATAGAGCTTGGAAATACCTTTCAAATGATGGGTCATATGTTGAAAAAGGTTAATTAGTTTAGTTGCAAATGAATTTAAACCATTAAAAATAGCACTTCTTTAATTGTTTAATAACTTTGTTAATAATTATCGAATTTGTTCATAACTTACCAGGAATGTTCTCCTTGCGTAGCTGAATAAATCCCAAAAAAAAAATTAACTAGATCGGAGAAATAGTTTATGCATAATTCCATTTGTTAACTAAAAACATGTAATTTTTCAACGGAATTTCCCCACTTTTGGTACATCGAATTTCGATTTTTTTTTTGGAAAGTACACTTAAGAAGTCAAACTTTCATCCTATTTAAATGGCCAATTGATTTTTTTTATCTAAGTGCATAATAAAAAGGGTTAAAAAAAGAGTGTGTTTTTTTGTCATAAACAAATGGAATTACTCAGCCAATTTTCACTTTATCAATTAGCTATAAACGGCATATAATTCCATTTGTTTCCACAAAACTTTTCAAAAAAAAAAAATCCGACTTAACTTGAAGGGGGGGGGGGGAGTTAACTTTTTTTTAAAAAAAAATTCCTGAGAAGTTAATTATTAATATTTTTTATTGAAACTGGCACGACTTTTAGTTCAAAACATGTAGGGGAGAGTCTCCAGTTGTGAGACGGGTTTCATTTTTGACCCGTAAATTGTAAACGGGTAAACGAAATTGTAAATAAAATACACCGTTCGGAAGGTAACAGAAATACGCAACTTTTATTAAAAGAAAGTATAGTGTTTCGATGAACTCAAAAAATTTTACGATACATTTTCCGAGCACATCGCTTTTTTCAAAAAAAAAAAATGTCTCCAGTTGTGAGACACTCATTAAAAATTGCTAAAATTTAATAAGTTTGACCTAAAACGTTATGTTTAGTATAAATAATTAAATATATTAATAATATATATTATTGTATACTAAATAATAATATTTATTCGCCAAAATATGACTATCAAATAAACACAATTTAATAGCTTCAACAAGAGCATTAAAATTGATTTCTTCTGAATCAATTGACTTTTTTCCACTTGACATGCCCAAAAATACTAGAAAAAAAATCAAAACAACATTTAAATAGTATGCCTGCAAATTCGTATTTTTCATGCTGCCCAGATGGGTGTTGACACCGTCTCACAACTGGTGATATGCTGTGTCTCACACCCAGAAATTGGCGCTATTTTGAAAAAGGAAAATTAAATTATTTTCAACCGTAGATTGGAACAATGCAATATTGCATCACAAAATATAAGGAAAACACTAACAGAAAATGCATTACATTTACCTTTTCCAATTAATTAACTTGGAAAAAAAGTACTTTGCATTTATTGAAAAAACGCTTTTTAGTCGATTATCACACACAGTGTTGGTATTTAACAAAAACAGTTTATATATCCGCTTCGGCGTACACGAAAAAGTTGGCTCATATAAAAAGAAATGTTTTTATATAAACCAATCGGCTTTTTAATATTACATGTTAAAAAAAATTGACTGTCTCACAACTGGAGGTGTCTCACAACTGGAGACTCTCCCCTATTTTATGAAAAAAAATTAAACTTAACCTTTTGTGCTTTTATTTTTCATTTATTTCAAGACAGTGAAAGTACTTGAATATTTTTTTCAACCCTTGGTCGGCGGAGAGGGGAACTCGATACGCGGGAATTTCGCCCGTCACAAACAGAATTCAGCCGTCAAATTCACAAAAATGGTCATAACTTCGTTAATTATTGACCGATTTTAATCTTTTTTTTTTAATTCCATGTATTTTTTTATGCTGAATCCAAATATGAATTTATATATTTTTTAAATAAAATATTTTTTGTAGAAATAAAAAAATATTTTTTTAACAACAAATTTTTATGATTATTAATTATATATAACAAAAATTTTTCTTCGTACATCTTATTTTATTTAATTTAAAATAATGTTATTTAAAAAAAAACTGAAATTATTTACCAATAAGCGTGTAGCATCGAGTTTAAGCGTTGTAGTGGCAAAATAATTATTTTTTATGGGTTAAAGTAATTTTATTAACTTTTTTTTTAAATAAGAACAAAGGTGTGTTATAAAAGAAACAATATTATCTTTTTTATTAAATACTATTTACAATAAACATATTTTTAATCATCCATACACTCATCATTCATTTTAACATTATCATTATGATTAAAAATATGTTTATTGTAAATAGTATTTAATAAAAAAGATAATATTGTTTCTTTTATAACACACCTTTGTTCTTATTTAAAAAAAAAGTTAATAAAATTACTTTAACCCATAAAAAATAATTATTTTGCCACTACAACGCTTAAACTCGATGCTACACGCTTATTGGTAAATAATTTCAGTTTTTTTTTAAATAACATTATTTTAAATTAAATGAAATAAGATGTACGAAGAAAAATTTTTGTTATATATAATAAATAATAATAAAAATTTGTTGTTAAAAAAATATTTTTTTATTTCTACAAAAAATATTTTATTTAAAAAATATATAAATTCATATTTGGATTCAGCATAAAAAAATACATGGAATTAAAAAAAAAAGATTGAAATCGGCAATAATTAACGAAGTTATGACCATTTTTGTGAATTTGACGGCTGAATTCTGTTTGTGGCGGGCGAAATTCCCGCGTACCGAGTTCCCCCACTCCGCCGTCCAAGGGTTGAAAAAAATATTCAAGTACTTTCACTGTCTTGAAATAAATGAAAAATAAAAGCACAAAACGTTAAGTTTAATATTTTTTCATAAAATACATGTTTTGAACTAAAAGTCGTGCGAGTTTTAATAAAAAATATTAATAATTAACTTCTCAGGAATTTTTTTTTAAAAAAAAGTTAACTCCCCCCCCCTTCAAGTTAAGTCGGATTTTTTTTTTGAAAAGTTTTGTGGAAACAAATGGAATTTTATGCCGTTTATAGCTAATTGATAAAGTGAAAATTGTCTGAGTAATTCCATTTGTTTATGACAAAAAAACACACTCTTTTTTAACCCTTTTTATTATGCACTTAGATAAAAAAAATCAATTAGCCATTTAAATAGGATGAAAGTTTGACTTCTTAAGTGTACTTTCCAAAAAAAAAATCGAAATTCGATGTACCAAAAGTGGGGAAATTCCGTTGAAAAACTACATGTTTTTAGTTAACAAATGGAATTATGCATAAACTATTTCTCCGATCTAGTTAATTTTTTTTGGGATTTATTCAGCTGCTCAAGAAGAACATTCCTGGTAAGTTATGAACAAATTCGATAATTATTAACAAAGTTATTAAACAATTAAGGAAGTGCTATTTTTAATGGTTTAAATTCATTTGCAACTAAACTAATTAACCTTTTTCAATGTATGACCCATCATTTGAAAGGTATTTCCAAGCTCTATAACTTTCAATAACAACTTTTTCCCCTAAAACTTAACCGGAAGCAACGAGCATCGAAAAACCATGTTTTACAAACTTTGGCGATTGTTTACACTGTTTTTCGCACCCGGAAATCGAGAGCAAACTGTGGGGCTCTTATAAGGAGCCCCCAAACTACCAGAAACCGTTGAGACTTTGCTGTTTGCATTTTTGGGCAGTTTTTGCACTCACCGACTGGCCTATTAGACGATTGTTCGGCGTAGTGTAGCCGAGCCTCGACAATTAGTGCTGGCTCAGTACAGAATTTTTGTTTCGCCAAAGCTTGGACAAGCCACGGCGGTAAGTGCTGGCTGAGTATAGAAAAATTGTTTACAACGCTCTTTGCCAACATTGCTTTTTTGACATAACTTGAAAAAAATTAGAAAAAAAGTTTATGAATGTTTATAAATATAAATTTATTGAAAAAAATTAATATTTTACTTTTCAGTTGTTCATTTTTTATTTTTATTAAATTTAATAATAATAATTTAACATAATTGTCTAATTTTGTTTGTTTATTTTTAAATTAGCGCGATTTTTTCTATGAATAAGAGATTTATGGTGGGGCAATTGTAGAAGCTTTTGTTGACGATCGTTGGCACCTCTGATTGGCTAATGTATACAGTAAAAAATTATTGATAATTATTGAGGAAAAGATAATTCTACCATTTTATTTATTCATTTATTATTATTTGTGTAAGGAATGAAGTTTCTCAGAAATTCACTTTCTGTAATAATGATGATGATGATGATGATGAGGTTTTAAAATCATTCCATCAGAAATAATTATCTTCATAATTCAAATCTAGCAATTTTTGAAATCACAGTTTAACTCAAGTAATGTTTGACACATGCCAAAAATGAACGATTACAAAGACCCGAAATGTGCACCATTGACTGAAAAAGACACTCGTCGTTTTTATTTAAAAGAAGCAATAGTGACGACTCCAATGAAATCTTGAACTGCATAGAAATATCTTAGATATTGTGAGACTGCGTTATGAAAAATAAGCAAACTAAAATGAAGAAGTGCACGACGAAAAATTGCCGTAATGAATTCTAAAACATATTTTCCGCTTGGTAATTAATTAAAAGAGCAATTAAGTGTTTAATGTAAACATGAAAAA